CTCAAGACCACAAGCCCAGGGATGACATCACCCACCATGGATTGGGTCCTTCCCCATCAATCACTAATTTAAAAATTTGCCCTATGGATTTTCTTAACTGAGGTTCCCTTCTCTCAGATGACTCTAGCTTGTATCAAGTTAACATAAAACTAGCCCTCATAGTGAGTCTTCCCATCTGATTAACCTGGTCAAGAGAATCCCATATGTGTGCCTAGAGACCTGCCTCTCAGGTGATGTTAGGCCTCATAAGTTGACAACTGAGTTAGCCACTGGGTCTCCTATGTAGCCCTGGCTAGCTTTGAACTCACAATCCTCCTATTTCAGTTTCCTGAGTACTGAGACTACAGTGTGCAGTGCTGTGCCCCTCAAATACACCAAGATAGCATTGTGTTTCATTTTGATGGTACTGCTTAGCAATCCCAGGGCCTTTCTCTAAATGAGCTCTCTACAAACAAGTGGTCTAAGTTTTGTAGCCAACTCTCTTTCAAAAATTTTAACCAAGTTCCTCAGGCTTAGTTTGCTGTGGATTTTTACTTTGCACTGAAGATGCATTGGGCTACAGCAACCTTGTAATGGAAGGATGCTTGAACTTCACTTTGTGCAAAGTTTCACCAAGAACACTGTACCCATCCCACCATGCAAGACTGACAATGACAGACTTAGACAAGTTAAAGTTGTCATAAGCCCCTTGTTCTTTTCTATGGTGATGGGTGGGGGTCCTTGTTGTTGAGATGCATTCAGAATCACCTGGGGAATCCTCAGAAATGCAGATGCCCAAGCTGCTCTCATTCCCAGCTTGGATCAGGGACACTGGGCATGGGTCTATATAGGACCTTGCAGGGCTTCTCAGTGGTGACAAGAGTTCAAGAGAAGACTCACCTCCCTCGTACCTGAACCACTCCTGGTTATTGTCACAGCTGGGAATCAGGTCCTCCAATCATTCTCTGTGCCCCTGCTGAGGACTGGGCAGAGATGCAAGCAGGAGACACTAGACACAGTGATGGTGCACCTGTGATCACAGCATTGGGAGGTAGGAGCTAGAGGATCAGATCAAAGTCATCCTAGGCTACATGGGGAAGTTAGCAGCCAGCCTGAGTTGTATGAGACACTGTCTTAAGACACTGGGCAACTGGGCCAGGGTGATGGGGGAAAGAGCTGGTGAAGTCTGGATTGCAATCCCAGCTCAGACATAAATTCAATAGCTGAGCTTGGAGTATTGCTAGACTTACCACAGAAACACACAGTTAAATGTGAACCTTGGGACCCAATGAGCCTTTTTTTTTCTTTCTTTCTTTCTTTTTTTTTTTTTTTTAAAGACATCCTAGCATATAAGCTGTAGTTAAACTTGTTTTAAAAAAGTATTGTTTGTCCAAAAATTGAATCAAGCCAGGGATCTTGTGTTTTATCTGGTGATCCCACCTGGGGGCTCTGCTTCTCCGAAACTCATTCCAAATGAGAAAAATGAGGGGTCAGACTGGACCACCCTATGGCTTTAAAGATCATATCCTGTATCTCTGGGACCCTTTCTCTCTAGCACCACCAGGGGGCACTGAACACTTCTTGATGCCTCCTAGCTTGGTGACTAGCTGGATTCTGGGTCCCACTGGACCTGGAAGAATAGCTGGAAATCAGGTTGTAAAAGCCACCGGAGTCTGGATATGCCTGAAGTCACTTATCCAAACAGAGAAAGGCAGACCAGTGTTCCTTAAGACATCACTCAGTTGCCAAGCTGTCTGTTGACCATTATGTAGAAGAAAAGAGGCCCCCACCCACAACTGGCAGGATGTTACATTCCCCATCCTGTCCAGGGCCCGTCTGTCTCCCTTGAGTACTCCTATTTTTCTGTTTCAATTTGGACATAGTTGACCCTTGGAGTCCTGCAGAAAGAACTACTACATAGCAGACACTAGGTAGCCTGGTACAGCTTAGCAGGACTGAGATGTTCCTGAGTTCCTTCCTTTTCTGCACCCTGCACCATAGCCTGAGAGGCAGAAACATTACTGCCAGGATTCTTACAGATGGACCATGAGATTGGAGTGTTGGTAGACTCTGTTACAAGGTGCCTGGGAGGAGGAGAGAAAGAGGGAAAGGGAAGGAGGGAGGGAGGGAGGAAGGATGAGAGGGAGGAAGGATGGGAACATCCTTTTCTGGTTCCTTTGATCCAGGTACCTTCCATCTCAGGGGTTTGGTTACTTACTCTCCTGGAAATGGTGAGTCTTCAATGTTCCCCTGGAGACCCACACCTCCCATAGGGGAGGGGCAATCACCATTTTAGCGCCAAGATGATTTTAGGAAAGTTCTGTGGTTGGTCTTAATTTATGTATAATTATTTGTAACTTGGTTTCCCTTTGAACTGTGTGATTGTCAAGGGCAAGGTCTGATTTCATTAGTAAGAAGCATGGGACACATCCACTCATTCATGGCATTGTTTCTCATTATTTGTATTTTTATTGTATTTTACCTTTAAGACCTATTTCTAGTATATAGATGGCTTTGTTGTGTGTGTTGTATTATTTTTAGAATAGGGTCGGTCTCATGTAGCCCAGGTGTCTTAGTTAGGGTTTCTATTACTGTAACAAAACACCATGACCAAAAAGCAAGTTGAGGAGGAAAGGATTTATTTGGCTTATACTTTCATATTGCTGTTCATCACAGAAGGAAGTCAAGACAGAACTTGAACATGGCAGGAACCTGGAAGCAGGAGCTGATGTAGAGGCCATGGAGAGGTGCTGCTTACTGACTTGCTACCCATGACTTACTCAGCCTGCTTTCTTATAGAACCCAGAACCACCATCCCAGAGATAGCATCACTCACGATGGGCTCCCCCCACCCTCATCAATTGCTAATTTAAGAAAGTGCCCTATAGCTGGATCTTATGGAGGCATCTTCTCAATTGAGGCTCCCTCCTTTCAGGTAACTCTTAGTTTGTGTGTCAAGTTGACATAAGACTAGCCAGCACACCAGGCTAGTTTCCAACTCACCTGTAGACAAGGATAGCCTTGAACTTCTGATCCTCCTGCTTCTACCCCCCAAAGAGTGAGTTATAGTTTTGTGCCACCATTCCCAGTTTCTTTTGTTCTGGATTCAAACTCAGGGCAAATACTCTATCCACTGAGTCACAGACCCAGGCATGCTCTAGGCTACATGAAGCTGGTCTTCCATCTAGGGTAAGGATATAATTTCCTTTGGATATTAAAGGGCTTTGGGGGAGGGTATTTATTTGTTTTGGTTTAGTTTTTGAGACAGGGTCTTGTTATGTACAAAAAAATGGATGGCCTAGAACTCACTATGTAACCCAAGCTGACCTCAATTTTGAGATCTGCCTGCTCCTGTCCCCACTACCACCCCGCCACCACCACCACCACCCCAAGTTCTGGGATTACAAGTGTGCTTTAAGTAATTTGCTTTAAAGGAAAGGGAGAACAGAACCAGGAGGATAGGGAAGCAACATCTCTAAGATTGATGCTACTGTCAACTCCATTGGCAGAAGACTGGCTTTAAGGTGAGCTGCAGCATGTGCACCCATCTTCCTGCCCTCCCAGCACCCTCAACTCTGTCTTGAATCCTAATTCCTCAATGCTGGCTTTTTTTTTTTTTTTCTTTTGGAAATTCTGAAGACTCAGTATAGCAGATACTCACTTATAGGGATGGGACACATGCTAAGCTCAAGCCCCTCCCTGTGTTTTTCACTGCCTCAAGATGCAACCAAATGACCCAATTCCCAGAACCCAGGTTAGTTGAGATCTGGGCTTCAGAGTCAATGCTGTGTGTTCCACAGATGATCCAGCCCAGACTGGCCAAGGGGCAAGACTGTATCAGTTACCCATGGGGTCAAGTTCTCACTCTCCAGACAAGCACCTGGTCTTCATTTCTTTCATGCAGCATTCTGTCTGGCAGGAGTTGTTCAATTGTGTTCCAGCCTTACTCATGGGACATCTCGTCCACCAGAGTTCCCTGATAAACACCAGCTAATGAAGGCAACACTATAGGAATTTCCTAAGCCCTCTGACTGCCCAGATTCCCTGAGATCATCAGTGGTGCTAGGCTTGTATATATCATATGATGAAGACAAAACTGCCCTGGTCCCCGCCTCCCTTCCCCTCTTCTGTTACACAGACAAGAACTCCAAAGTCCAGCTAGTTTGTGCTCTAGAAACTCGTGTTACTCATCTTTAAATTGTCAGAAGAACCTGCTGCATGGCCCATTATAATGGTACAAATCTCTCCAAGGGAATTTTGGGAAAAGGAACCTGAAATATCACAATAGCACATCTGATGGGCACAAGCTTCATAAAGTGTTCTGTGACTTTTGAGGACCTAGAATTTTTTTTTTTTTTTTGCAACAGGGTCTCATTATGCATCTTGGCTGACCTATAACTAAATAGATCAGGTTGGCCACAAACTCACAGAGATCTGCCTGTGTCTGCCTCCCAAGTGCTGGGATTAAAGGTGTGTGCCAGCCACCACGCTCAGCTACCTAGAACTTTCCATGAAGAAACTATATCCTATTCCATGGGGTGAACAAAGCTACCACATGGTTCTAGGGCACTTGAAATGTGGCTGAAATGATTAAGGAACTAACCTACCCCCTGCAAAGTCTCATGTAGCCCAGGCTGGCCTCCAGCTCACTCTGAAGCTGAGGATGACTTTGAACTTTTGACTATCCTGCCTCCATCTCTTCAGTGCTGGTATTGCAGGCATTCACCACCACACCCAGTTTATGCAGTACTGGGAATCAATCAAATCCAGGGCTTTGTGCATGCTGGGCAAACACTCTACCAACTGAGCTACATCCCAGCCCAGGAACTGAATTCTTCATCTGTTAAATTAGTGCTCACAGGAGCACAGGAGCCATGGCTTCCCTGTGTATGAGTGTGTGTGTAAGTGTGTATAAAAGCATAATAGTGTGTTTGCATCTATGCAAACACATATACCCTTGTGTCTGTGGACTGGGGAAATGAAGCGCCTGAGACCAAGACACACACACCATCACCCAGGACGGCAGTTTCTAAGTCATTAATTTTTATTTTGAAAGATTTGTCAAGCTCTTCACGTCTTTGTGAGAGTTTGCATGATTAATGAGAAGCAGCTTTTTCATGAAATGCTTGGAGGTGGTGAACAAATTCTTAGCCTGTGAGATCCGACCATTCCATTGACTTGCAAGTTTCTCTTGGTTAGTAGATGGTTGCCAGCAGGGTGGGGGTGGGGGCATGCTAGAAACTGTATGACAGCCATCTTGACATGACAATCAAACCAATTGCCCAGCTTCACTTTCTCTATGGTACAGCTTTCTTTGTCTTCCTCTTGAGTCTCACTTTCCTAAAACAGCCTCCCAGTGCCCATAATCAGTAGATTAGGAGAATCCTGTGAGATGTTCTGGTCCACCCATAGTCCCATGGCTTGCCAAAATTTGAACCAACAGCCAAACACAGAAAGAAACTGCCTGAAGAGTGGAGGAGATAGTGAGGTCTTGGGCTGCTGGGACTCTGTACATGCGTATCACAGCTCTGGAATATTCTCTCAGTCGTTGGCCTAGGCTACCATGACTATCTGGGTTCTGACTGGTGGACCCTCAGGTCTCAGAGCATCCTTGTCCAGATTTTGTACCCTGTGTCTGCCACTTCCCTTTGCCTATCTCCGAACCACCAGGGGAAGACCCCAAGGAGCCCACACCCCAAAATGAAATCAGCACAGAGTCTGAATGAGAGAGTGTTAGAGTCAAGTGGAAAATAGGAATGAAAGCTAAAGATACCTCATGCTTGTGTGCGGCAAGCTCGTGCAACTCCATTTCCAACACAGCCAGTGAGACACTGGGCAGTGCAGGGGACAAGGGAGCTGTGGATGGGCCATGCCCCAGAGTCGAGTTATGTGGGAAACTGCCATGACTTAGGTTATAGTATCTTTTTTTTTCCTTTTAGCACCGTTAATGTATTCAGTTAGATCTATGTTAGCACCTTATCCCCAGGCAGAACGGCCAACCATCCAAACATTTTAAATGAGGGGGGAGTGGAAGGGGAGACATTGGAGGGAGAGAATTCAGGACTGCAGAAGGAAGTGTGAACTTAGATCACCAGGTCCTTGTTGATGTCCTCTGCAAAGGAAGAAGGGGCAGAGTTAAAATAAGGCTCTGTGACATGAAAGCAGAAGGGGGCTGGTTGGGAAGAGGAGGGGGACAATAGGAGTGGGAGCAGGAGAGGGTAATGAGCCATGAAGATGATCAAAATATACATTGTAGATGTATGAAAATATCATAGTGAAATCCATCAGTGTGTATAATCACTATAGCTAATAAAACAGAGAGGCCTGGTGTCCATCCTAGGATCTGTTGGATTCCCTCCCATCCCAGGACCAGGGGCCAGTGACCTTGATCTCCCTGACTCTAGCCTGTTTCCATCTCTTGAACTAACTGCCAAGTTGTACTTCCTGCTTCCTCTCCCCAGGCAGCCAGTTCCCAAAATAGCACTTATATGGAGTGAGAACTAATGTTTGGCCTTCAGGAAAGATCTTCAGGGCACAAAGACAAAGACAGTAGAGCTGAGTTAAACAGGCAAAGGAAATAGACAGAATAGACAAACACCAGACAGAGCCACCAGAGGGGAAGTCACAACATCCCATCCGTCAGGTACTTCTTTGCCCTGAGCCCCAACACTTACGCTCCTTGATGCCAAAGCAGCCGGCCCACTCATCCAGGGCAATGTACTTGTCGTTGTCTAAGTCACAGGTCTCAAAGAAGCGTGTGGTGCAGTGTTCCATGGGGATGAGAGGAGCACGCAGTGGGGCCAGCTCAGTGTGGGACAGAGAACTGGTAGGGAAGAGTGGGGAAGGGTGTGAGCATGGGAGACTCCAAAGCCTAATATGGGAGGCCAGTGGTAGGAGTCCAGGGCTGGGATCCTGGCTTTACCCACAGTTCTCTACCATGGAACTATAATGGGACCTACAGTGCCACATTACCCCACTCTAAGCTTCAATTTCCTCCTCCATCTGACAAGGTTAGGAATAGGCTATCCCAGTCCTGAGTCTCAATGGCCTCATTGTAAGGGTCATTGGCTGAGGGGTGGGGACATAGAAACAATATATTCAGCACCTCAGTTATGGTAAGTCAAAAATCTAATGAGACCACACTGTAGATTTTCAATGTTCAGATAATGGTATATAGATGCAGGTGCCCAGAAAAGGCTCTAAAGGGAGGCCCATCAATCTTGTAATAGGCGGATTGTAGCTCAGCAGTAGAGCACCTGCCTAGGATTCCCCCATTGAGACTCTACCAGTAAAAGGTTGGGGACACAGCTCAGTGGTAGAGTATTGGACTAAATTCTCTGATAAGGGGCTATGGTGTGAGGTGATTCAATGACAAGAGTTCCTTCCTAGAATTCCTTAGTCAGAGGCTTGCCTAGTACATTCCAGGCCCTGGGTTCTATCCCCAATGCTAAAAATAAGAAATACGTGAACAACAAAAACTTGTGATGGCTCTGACTTGGGGGGTGGGGGGTGGCTGAGCCAGGGCTGGCTGGGCAGTGAGATGGGAAGGGCACAAGATCTTCTTCCATCCTCTATGTGTCATGCAATGAACGACCGCAGTATTGCCCTCTGAGGTCCCTCCCACTAGACTCCAGAGCATGACCTTTTCTTTTCTTTCTTCAGAATCCCAATTAATTGTTTCTATAACACTAATACCCACAAAGGACCTCAGGGGACACCATGACTCCAATGTTCTTCACAGCCTCCTGTTTACAAGAAGCATCACAGAGAATCTGACCTGGCCTGGACCCTCCTCCACTCTCCTGCAAG